GAGCAGGCAGGTGTGGTACACACCTTTAATCCCAGGACTCGGGTTTAAGAGGTAGACAGATCTCTGAGTCCAAGACCACCCTGGGCTACTGGAGAGTGAATCAGAGTTTACGCCTTTAATCCCAGGATTTGAGAAGTGTAAAAGGTAGAGGCATTCAGTCTGAGAGTTAGTCTCTAGCCACGTGGAGGAGAGCATAGTAGTCTGAGTGAATCTGAGGAGCAGTGAAGTCAGAAGCGGTCTGAAGGTCGCCCCTTCAGTCTGAGCTGAGGTAGAGGTAAGAGGTAAGTGACCAGCTGCTTTGCCTCTCTGATCTTCAGCTTGAAGATTGAATCCCAATATCTGTCACTGGGTCTTTTATTTATCGAGTTACACACATGCACATACACACATACATAAATAGAAAATAAAATATATTTTTTTAAAAATTGAGGGACTGGAGAGATGTTTTAGCAGTTAAGAGCATTCATTGCTCTTCCAGAGGCCCCAGGGTTCAATTTCCAGCACTCACATGGCAGTTGACAACTCTCTGTAACTCCAGTTTCAGGGGATCCAACACCCTCACACAGACATATATGCAGGCAAAATACCAATCAATGCAAACAAAATAAGCATAAATAAATCATTTAAAAAATTGAAATTTTGAGTGACAGCCCTACTCTGGTTTGGATGTGGTTTGTCCCTCAAGGGTTTTTGTGTTGTAAGCCTTTTCCCTGAGGTGGTGGTATTGGGAGAAACGGAAACCTTTTAGAGTACAGTGGATTAGCTCACTGGGAGTACTGTCTTTGGAGAGAATTAAGGTAATTATTGTGGGACTTTGTGTTCATTTTCCAGAGGAAGCAGTCTGAAGGTCGCCCCTTCAGTCTGAGCTGAAGTAGAGGTAAGAGGTAAGTGACCAGCTGCTTTGCCTCTCTGATCTTCAACTTGAAGATTGAATCCCAATATCTGTCACTGGGTCTTTTATTTATCTAGTTACACACATGCACATACACACATACATAAATAGAAAATAAAATATATTTTTTAAAAAATTGAGGGACTGGAGAGATGTTTTAGCAGTTAAGAGCATTCATTGCTCTTCCAGAGGCCCCGGGGTTCAATTTCCAGCACTCACATGGCAGTTGACAACTCTCTGTAACTCCAGTTTCAGGGGATCCAACACCCTCACACAGACATATATGCAGGCAAAATACCAATCAATGCAAACAAAATAAGCATAAATAAATCATTTAAAAAATTGAAATTTTGAGTGACAGCCCTACTCTGGTTTGGATGTGGTTTGTCCCTCAAGGGTTTTTGTGTTGTAAGCCTTTTCCCCGAGGTGGTGGTATTGGGAGAAATGGAAACCTTTTAGAGTACAGTGGCTTAGCTCACTGGGAGTACTGTCCTTGGAGAGAATTAAGGTAATTATTGTGGGACTTTGTGTTCATTTTCCAGATATTAAATCTTTACAAAAGAATGGGTCTAAGTAACAACCACCTCTCCCTGCTTCCTGTTTCACTGTGGGATCTCTCTTCTCCTATACATTCTTTGCATTGTGTTATGATAGGGTGTAGTTGAGGGTCTTCTTCAAAGCTGGTGTTACGTTGTTTGGGTTTTCTACCTCCAAAACTATGAGCTACATAAACTTCCTTTCATTATTAACTGTCCAGCCACAGATATTTCATTACAGAAATGGAAAACTGATTAATAGAGATCCCAAGCACCAGACTCTGAGACCTCTCATTCCCTTCTAACAGTGATAATCCCAGACCTCAGACAAGTAGTAGAAGGTATTAATTGCCCTGATCTCTCTGTGTCTTTGCCTCTGTCTCTCTTTCTCTCCTGGATTATAATGTCTCCTGCTCTATGCCAAGGTTCCAATATCCCTTTAGTGATGTTTCCCCCTGCATTTCTGCTTTTTAA